TCTTCACCTATCAAGGATGACAGATCACAGGGCTGACTATGAAGAAGTTTTAAGAAAATTAAAAACTGTGTTGGTGAGACAAAAGGCCAGGGATGTCAAGCCATGGGATTCCCCCACCCCCACCCCCATCCCCCGCCATGGAGACAGTGAACCTGCTCATTCTGGAAGGGTAGGAATGGCTACTCTATGAGAATCTTATTGGGAAACCTGACCCCAACGCCCTACAGCCCCGATTTTGCTTCTTCAGACCCCTTGTATTTCCCAAAACATTTTGAAGGAATACACCTTCAGTCTCATGGGTTGCCCAAGCTGACATGTTGATGTGCTGTCTGTTGAAGGAACAGAGTTCCTTGAAAAGGAGCCAAAAAGATAGAAACACTGATTTCAGAAACGTAGAGTCCTGGTGGGGTAGTGGTTACAAGTTGGGCTGTGTCCTGAGGGAGAAAGCCTGGGCTTTCTACTCCCATTAAGAGTTACAGTCTCAGAAAGAAATGAGCTCTGTTGATAAAGAATAGCTTTAGATTGTTGTTTAATAAAAATGTGTTATTTTGCAGCACGATTTGTTGACCTACCCTCATTTGTGTATGTGCGTGTAATATAGTACTATATATATGTGAGAAGTTTTATTGTAATTGAATGAAAAGAAAGAATATCTTTGAAATATATTGCCTACTTGGACACTGATAAATTAAAAGAGCAAGCAAGTATTATGTAACTATGACCCACTTCATATCCCCCTTATTCTTATGCACATCCATGGTACACGGCTTCCCCTCAACCTTGCTCTCCAATCGGCGTGACGGGTTTCTTATTCTCACCTGCCTTATCAATTCACCCCATCTCTGTACTCTGATACCCAACCTGCCTCTCTATGCCCTACTCCTTTTGATTCCTCAAGAAGACACCTGTTTTGATTCCATTGTATTCTGTTTCAGTCACTTTTATTTGGGGGGAAGTAAGTGAAAAGTTTCCATCACTGAGATGGAATGGTTGATGAATCACACCCACCCACAAATGGCTCAGGATCATGGACTGGTTACTTGTTTTGGAAAGGTTACTGCTTTGAAAGCTCATAGATCCACATTCTACTCTGACACATGAGGGATTCACAGGAATCAGTGCCTGGTACCTTCCTAACTCTTCTTACATTATCCCCAGATCTCCATTTCTTTCACCCTCATTGTGAACATGGCAATTGTCTTAGTTTGTCACACAGAGTTAGGCTCACTTTAAGTTACTTGCCCCCAATCAAACAGCCAGTATGTAGAAATTCTGAACTTTTTTTATCCAAGGGCCTCAATGCCAAAGCCAAAGGCTTTTTGTTATAACGTCAGGAATGACGAGGCCCCGGGATGATGGTTATACTAATAATCTGGAGGCAGGTAGTATGGTAAAAAGAGGAGAGATGGATCAACTTTATGTCGAAGGAAAGTGAGGAGCAGTCTGCCTATGGGAATAGAATGAGAAATCGATTTTTTTAAAGCTTATATATTTTAAGAATTTATATATTTTAAGAATTGTAAGCATATGCATAAAGGAGCTTCAAAAGGTTTTGTAAATGTAATGAAAAGAAAACAAATTTTATTTCTCAACACAAGCTTCTTTCATGCTCAAGACATTTTGGTAAGCCATGATTGATACAGCCATTTTGTCCATCCCTAAAGGACTGGGGTCCTGGGACTTTGGTCATATCAATAATGAATCGTTCATACATTCTGAACTGAAGAAAACAGGCACCTTTTAAAGAATATTTTTTAAGAATCGGAAATATGTCATAAGGAGACAAATCAGCACTGTAAGGTAGATGCCTCATGATTCCCCATCAAAATTCTTGCCAAATCGCCCCATGGTGACAGGAATGGTCATGACCATCACTGTGTTGGAGAAGGACTCTGGTGAAACTTTGCTGGGTATTTTTTTGCTAAAGCTTTCCGAACTTTCTCAAAACATCCTCAGAATAAATAGATGTCACCATCACCCTTTAGCTCTCCAGGAAGTCAACCAGCAAAATTCCTCAAGCATCCAAAAACAGCAGCCCCTGACCGCTGCGCTTGCTTGACTAGACCACTTCCACGCTAGGATCCATTCCTTTGCTTGTCCGTTGACTCACGTTGCTTTGCCAAAGCCATGGTACATCTCCTGTTGCAAATCTTTGAAGAAATCTTATAGAATCTTGATCTTGCTGGTTGAAAATGTCCATTGAAAACTCTGATCTTGCCCTTAGCTGACCTGGGTGCAGCAATTTTGGCCAGCGTTGAGCAAAAAGTTTGAATTTTCCATTTGAATTGTGTAAATCATTCCAATTGATAGTATATCATGTTATCTATAGTGTCTGTGGATCATCGTCAAATAGGGCACAGACAAGTTTGTGGTTTTGCTCACAAATCAGTGTGGGTGAATGGCCACTGTGGATGTCATCTTCAACATTGTCTCTTCCCTTCTTCAAAAGTAGCTAACCGTGTGTACACTGCTGATTTCTGTGGGGTGCTGTTCCCCTAACCTGTCTGTCAGGCATCAGTGATTTCACTTTTCTCCCACCCCAGCCAGCTTCCTCATAAATGTGAAGTTTTTCCTTCCCTCAATTTTAGCACAGTTCATGTTGCCCTGAGAGGGGCTCTTTGCAACCTGATGCCTCATCCCTCTTAAGGCTTCCAACTGAATCCTGTTCCGACTTATTGTAACACGTTAGATCCAGTTCACTTCGGAGCCCAGAATCTTTGAAATCCATGAAGAGTTTTTGTTCAGAATGTGCATTTTCCATGAACTCTTGCAGAATCCTGATATATAATACATTTGGCAGGTTAGCATTTTTCAGGTATATGGTTTAGTGATAGTCATTCCTTTAATCATGTGTACAACCAGCACCCATAATTGTTGTCAAAATCCCCATCACCAAAACCAGAAATTCACTGCTTCCTACACATTGATCCCCCGCCTGTCTCGCATCCTACATAACCGCTTATAAACGTTGGTCTCTTTGCATTGGCATGTTCTCATTTTTTCCTGTAAGTGAGATCACACAGTATGATTCCCTTTGTATTTGACCTACGTCCCCCAGCCTCAGATTACCCAGGACCCTTCCTGCTTGGGGGATGTCAGGCCTCCTGTTTTCCTTGGGTGGACACCTGCCATTATATGTCTGCACCGCTTGTTCGTGTATCCGCTCATCCATTGTTGGACATGGAGGTTGTCTAGACCTTTGGGCTATCGGGAATAGTGCTGAAATGCACACTCGTCTATCTTTGCTTGTTTTCACCACTGCTTCCAAGGCTCCTGGGTATGCACCTAGGAATGGGATTGCTGGGTCTTCTGACAGCTCTGTTCCTAACGTTTCATGAAACCATGCAAGCAGTAGTTTCTAAACTACATAACTACCCTTTTGGGAAGCACCTAAAATGTAGTAAATAGTAGTGAACAAGACCCTAGTCATCGATGTGCCACAGCAGGATAGGAGGGTAGCCTGGAAGGATCAGAACCATATTGCCATTTCTCAAGAGTAGGCTGTAAGAGTCGGTTATATGGTGGGTACTGCTGAGTGCCCAATGGGCTAGGACAGGCAGTGCCACAATGAAAACTTTGTTTCCAGACTCTCTCAAAAATTTACAGTAAAAAGTTCTTCCTCTGCCACATTTCTGTTCAGAGTGTGGAGAAGCTGACTGCAGCTGCCGAAGAACCTATGGAAGTTTCACGGAAGAGCATGAATTCGCTCCACTGAAAATTAAATACATACTTGCCATTTTGGTTTTTACATTTTTGGGGAGCACACCAATGTCCTTTGGGGGTTTATGCTTTTAAAAATGTATTATTAATGTCAAATAAAACCTTTAAAAAGGCACTTTAAGCATTATAAATGTGCTACTTTTCAAACATCGCTTAAAACTAAAGGTGAGCCTAACCTACCTGAAAAAATTATCACTTTGGTGTAAAACTTGAGCCTTTCAGACAGCCCAAGGCGACGCAGGGGAGTGGGGCAAGAAATGTCCTTAAAATTGATTGTGTTTGGAGCCAGGGAACTAAAGGTAGATTTTCATGTATGTTTGAAATCCAAAGTCTAAGAACACTTCTTCCACCTCAAACTAGTGGACCATGAAGGCCCTGTGCCATCATGTGTGTTCCTGAGTCTAGCAGCACTGACTCCCCGCCAGCGCAGGACCCTTCTCCTGACAACTCTTAGAAACACAGAGGATAGTCATGTGTTCAAACACGAAGAACAACCCGGGTGGTTGTTCTGTGCTTCCCTGCACAGCCACGTGCTTCTCAATTTAATTATTACCTTTGATACAGGAAAAAAAGATTCCTAATGGTAATGGGATGATGCATTTCTTTAATCTACCTTTGACCGATGCTGAAAAGCCCTCACACCCTGTGTCCTCTCAGCGGGTATAATGCATAAGACCTAGGTTCAGCATTTCATCCATGAAAAGTGGGGCTCAACGTCTTAGAGAGAAGCGTTTAATCTGTGTATATCCTGCCTGGCACGTGGGATTTTATTCAACAGCTGCATTTCACAGACAAAGACTTGGTATTTCTTCAAAGAACCAGATGAAACACTGTAATCCATTTCCTTCAGAAATTGAAGTTGTGAAATTAGACACACAACATTGATGAATGCTACTTTGCCTCTCTAGTAATTAAGGAGTACATACACACACACACACACACACACACACACACACACCTTTTGCTGTCATGACACTAAAGGTATACTTAACATGGGCCGGGCTATCAAATTCTTTGGATGTTACATTGAAAAGGAAGCCTTGAATTCTGAATAGGTGTGGGCAGGGGTTTCTTGATGTGTGAAAGTATTCTATTTTGAAGCCACTGGAATGCTTTTGAGTCACCCACTGCTGTGACTTTCCACACAAGTAGGTGAGCGGCTCCATCCTCTGGGACCGAAGCCACTCGGTGAGTTGAGACCTTAGGCATCATGCCTGTGTGAGGAGGGTCAGTGGATGGTTGACTAAACGCCCCCCCCTTCCCCCTTCTCATCCTTTCAGTGTTAATTCTGCTGATCGTCACTATGAGGAGACGGAAAAAAGAGCCCCTGATCTTTGACGAGGAGAGGGACATCCGAGAAAACATCGTCCGCTATGATGATGAAGGTGGCGGAGAGGAAGACACGGAGGCGTTTGACATGGCTGCCCTGAGGAACCTCAACGTCATCAGAGACACCAAGACCCGCAGGGATGTGACTCCAGAGATCCAGTTCTTGAGTCGACCTGCGTTTAAAAGCATCCCAGATAATGTCATTTTTAGGGAATTTATTTGGGAAAGACTGAAGGAGGCCGATGTGGATCCTTGTGCACCCCCTTATGATTCTTTGCAGACCTATGCCTTCGAAGGAAATGGCTCTGTGGCGGAGTCTCTCAGCTCCTTAGATTCCATCAGCTCAAACTCTGATCAGAATTACGATTACCTCAGCGACTGGGGGCCTCGCTTTAAACGGCTTGCGGACATGTACGGGACTGGCCAGGAGGGTGTGTACTCCTAGCCCTGAGCCTTCCATGGAAATGTACTGAAGGAAAAGCAAAAAACAAACACACAACCACTCCCCCACCACAATGGGAGCATGGCTGGCTGGAAACATGGAACGTGGAGGGAACCACAGCTGTACATGTGTCTCCTTTTTTAACCATTTCGGTTTCTGCCTCGGTGAAGTGTTCCCTTTAAGACATATCCAAGGGATGGCACTGATCCAGTCTTGGAGCATTTGGGGACTTTTTGATATAAAGGAATGCTCGGGGGTGTGTGTGTGTATGTGAATAGATAGCAACTCTCCTCTACCTGCAAAGGCACTTCACTTCTACAAGTGAGCAGTATCTGCCTGGCCTGGGAGCCAAGCCCTGTACATACACACCTTCATGGTACTGCCAGCGAGAGGAAGGAAAATGTGCCCAGCTCTTGAAGTCCTGGCAGTACTTGCATATCAAAACCTGGCAGCAAGTTCATTTAGAGGGATGGTCGCAGCTTGCTGGCTTATACAGAACAGCAGCATTTCACAGCTGTGGGTTTGCAAGTCTCTTTTCTTTAGGAAATAATGGATCAGTGCTTAGGAAATTTTCTCCGCCTGAACCTCCCCCCAGCCTTCAAAACAAAGCCAATGCAATTGGACTTCTGGAATCTTAAACCATTATTTAGCAAGTAAATGAGGAAGTGTTCCAAATAAGAAAATTCTGAATGATTCCCTAAATCCGCAGTCATTTTGAGATGCTCGTGTAGGTATGGAAAAAGTTGCTGTCTATTCGTTGATTTTTTATTATCTCTTCTGATTTGTACAGGAGAATTTTATTTCTTTTCTTTTCGACACATGGTGTGATATTTATGTTGGCGCTCCAATCTCTGCTCAATTCAGGCTCATCGTCCTCACCTAGGATCAAACTCGTCCGAACGCACTGAGTTCAATGAAGCGAGGACATGGAGACATCATAGTAAAGCCCTGGAGCCCCTGTCACGGTCCAGACCTCAGCGAGGAACGCAGCTACAGGGAAACGGGAGCTGTTCTTTGGAGCCATTAGAATGTGCAAAACATGGCCGTCAAATAACTGTACTTGGTATTTGAGAAAGGAAACTTCAGGGAGAACATACGTTCTCTTTGATTCCAGATTGATTTTTCAAAGTCACATGTGTGAGCTCCAAAGACGTTCGAGAACTTGTCTACCTGCTACCCGCCCCCGCCTCTAACTCTTTTGCTGCACACATGTGCAGTCTAGGACTGACATTTCCTTTACAGCTTCAGCAGAGTAATGTCAGACCTCTCAAACCCCGTGTCTCCAGTCTTATGCAAAACTGCCCCTCAGAAATGAACCCAGCCATATGTCATTTCTACCCCAAGTTTAGATGTGCCAAAGCAAGGAGAGTGACTTCACATGATCACAAGTGTGTATGTTTGATGTGGGATTCTTAGAATAAGGCTTTTATGATTAAAAAGTTAAAAACAATATTTCTACCTAGCATTTCCCCCTAGACTAATATTAGCTTCATATGCATATTTTCAAAGAAGGAATTTATTTTTTTGCTCCTTTTACAAAGGATGTGTAATTTTGGTCCGACTACGTCATCAGAGAGAGAAGACTGTGCTGGGAACTGTGTCTGGAAAGTGCTTCTTCTGAGAGGCAGCCCTGGGACAGAGCGTCAGTGTGTGGATGACATTCCATAGGGGTCTCTCAACTCACAGTCCACCCTTAGAAATGAATTCTGTGAAAGTGGCCTTTAGCCCATCAAAACACATTATTCAATAAATTTGATTCTCTGCAAAGTCCTTTTGTTTGAATAAAGTTTTATACACATTGTTTCCTGGCTAGATGATCTGCCTCTTGCTCTATTAATATTCATACACATAGCATATGAAAATACAATTCTGTAACACAGTACACACATGTACGTTTTCAACTATATATATTTATATATATGCATATGTGTATATAGCATATATATATGTTATGCTTACCCAGTTTAATGAAATCAGAGTTTGAAATGAAAGCAGAATTATATAGATGTTACATCAGCAGGGTGTCGAGAAAACAGTTTAGTAATAATCCCCTTGTCTGCAAGAAGATAAAATAATTTAGTACATTTTGATTATGGTGTCAAAACTGCTGGTTGGTGCACATATCACTTTAAAAAGGTGTGAATATGCTTTTGAAAAGGAACATCATTCACCTTGCTGTCTCCCCTCTTAAAGTTACCTATGTTTTCTCATTTTTGTTTTTTATTTAATATTGGCTAGAATTCTTTTGAGGAAAGACTGGCTCAATGGTTCGAATTCCTTGCATCTACCTCCCTTGCTTTTTAATGTGTGGCAGATGATTCAGTACAGTAATTAACTGAGTTTTGTGGTAATTTTCACTTTTTCCAAAGAAAATTATTTGCTGCTTTGAGTGTTTTTGTTTATGTTGTTTTCCAGCCATGTATTTTGAATAAAGAAAGACATTTGGGATGAAATAGGGTGGGGGCAGTATGGTTTTATGCAATTAGTGGGACAAATTCGTCCCAGTGTGTCCCGCGTGTTAAGCTTGATGGAGTGAGGCCTGTTTCTTCAGATTCACACAGTTACACCTGCCCTCACCAGATGGCATCACATACTAAGAGGGGGATACCAGCTTCCCAGTAATCTCCAGAGGTTGAAAAGTCAGTGGACAATATAGAGGAGACTGAAAAGTTCCTGGAAAAAGTGTATTCACTTATTATTTGATTTTTCCACGAACTTTTTGAAGGCCCCCTCATACATCCAACAAACGTGGAAAAATGTTTGAAGTTGCTGAGTAAATGTCTTTAATAGAAACAGAACTGTCTGGGCAATTCTCTGAGCTTAATCATAATGATGGTGAACTTGATTCATTCTTGCATTCTATTGCTTACTTATTTTAGTTCCTGCTATGTATCATTGCCCTAAAGGATACTTGGGAATCCATTAATTAGTCAGTCTTAAAGTTAGTTGGGAGACTCCTCAAGGAACATTCACTACATCTAGCGCTAGCGTGAAGACTGCCATCTCCTCAGAGGTGCCTTGGGAGGTGCCTGGAGATCTACCCCAAAAGTGATCCATTGAAAACCCGGTGGAGAACAGTTCTACTTGGATGCAAAGGGAGTCAACCGGATGGCAGTTGGGTTTATGAAGTCCCTTGTACTTGGTAGTGTACTTGCGGTCATTGGCACCAACACCTAAATCCAGATTATGCACATCCTGTGTCAAGGAATCCGTGGTGGTTCTATGAAATAAGGGCTGGACTGCTAACCACAAGGTCGGAAGTTCAGACCCACCAGCTACTCTGTTGGAAAAAGTTGAGTCTGTCTGATCTCCTAAAGATTTACAGCCTCAGAAACCCTGTACTGCATCACTGTGAGTTGGAATCAACTCAGTGGCAGTGTTTATGTGTGATTGTTTTTTGGCGGGAGGGAGTCTTACCAACTCCATTTCAAAAAAAGATAATGAAAGGAATGTATGCTACATCCAGCTCCTAAATATAAGTGAGTGTGGCAACAGTTTATGTAGCATGCCGTCCTTAGAGCAACATAAAGAAAGAGAGACGATGCAGTTCATTAGGGGACATGCAGGCACTAGTTCAGGAAGACAACAATTTTAAATATTCTCAGTTGATCATTATAAGGCATCAATCGAATTCTCAATAAAATTAACAACAGTTTTTTTAAAATTTCAGGTACCCAGAAGATCTGCCCCAACAAGTCAACTATGACTCAAAGTCACCCTTCCTAGGGACTCTAAGACCAAACCTTTCTGGCCTCAAACAGACTCATCTTTCTCCCTTAGGTGGACTAGTGAGTTTGAACCTCTAATCTTTTAGTTAGCAGGTCCACAGCTAACTTTCAGTACCACCAAGTGCTGAAGTACCAAATCATTGTGAAGCTTTTAAAACTAACTTCTAAAGAGTGACTTTCATGTCACTTGTTACTTCTGGTGGAGGCAGTGGGTAGATCTTTCTGCAGGAGGTGAGCTGGTGAAGCTGGTGGCCTCTCCCTGTAGCAGGATGTTCAGCTGTGGCTGAAGGCTGTTGAACCGAGGGGCCCATCAGATACTAGGAGGGAGTAATCGTGCTTAATGACAGCTGCCTCTTTCACTCTGCCCTCTGAGAAGGTTGTAAATTATTTTAACTTCATGAACAATTACGTTTACAACATTGGAAAAGGAGTGGTCTGAAACCATTATTTTCACGTAAACTGTGCAGATGCACAAGGGCTGAGTGATTGTGCATATTATAACCCACATGCCCCAGGAAATGGAAATGCAGATCTACAGCTACCAATTATGTCCAAAAATAGAACCTAAAAAGTGCTTAAAATAAATGAAGTTAAATACATGGCAAGAGGCAAAAACAATTTAGTTTAAATAGTCTAAAGTTTAAGCACTGGTTGTAAATATTAATCTTTTAAAATTTCCATTTCAATTTGACATCTATGGACTTATAAGAGGTTTTAATTATCCTAATTGCTTTTAACTCATTATTTACAGGTTTATTTACAGTTGATGTAACTAGACATGATTAGATCGATGCTTCAGCTTACTTAAATCTTCTTAGCCATGGCTGACTGGGTGAAGGTAGAACATACAAAGAGGGCTTCGAAAAGTTGGTGGGGAAATCCCACCACCTTCCAATTCCCTTTTTCATGAATGTTTGAAGTGCCCTTGCAGATGACAACAAATAAGCCAATTTATTCTCTATTTGCCCATGCTCTATATTTGCTCGTATGCAGTTAATTTCATAACTATTGGTAACACATATTGTGCGTGTGATGGTATTTAAAAGTTTGGCAAGGAAAGCTAGTCAGGTAACATCAGCTGCCCAGATGATGATGTAATTAGGAGAAGAAGAAAGAATGGCTAGCTCTGCATTTAGAATGGGAACGAAATGATGGGAGTGGGCATTATTTTAAAGTAAATCAGGACGCGAGAAGAGTGTGCGATTCAGTCAACATTGGAAAGCAAAATCCTGGTGTAAAATTTTCAAGCAAAATCACGGCCCCCTCTCCCCTTTGTTTACATGCATTCTGACAGTTCCTCAGTGCGATGCTAACTTCTACTGGCTAGGGGTGGAACTGAAAAGAAGGAGAAAGAGAGTGGGGGTTGCGGGGGCGGGGGACAGGGTTCGAGGGAGAGAGAGCTCAGGAAAGAGCAAGAGATATTAGTGAGCATTGAGAAGTATGTCTAAAGGGCCCTTTAAAATAGCCTCCTATCACTTAGTTAATGATTGTATGTAACCCTCATTTGGCCAGTGCCCCTGAGGTAGTAAGACTTAAAAATCTCGTCCTATGTGAGAGAGAAATATTTGCTTTAGCAATCTAATCTAATTTGATTTCTATTCAGAAGAGAATTTGGGTGTTTGAAAGGAAAGCATTTAAACGAACTCTCTGGATTCCTGCCATGTTTCATTTTTATTGTGCAAATGCTGTCCCTGTGTTAATGCACACTCTCACTCAGGAGTGTGAATTTTTTATTCAGAAATGTCTCTGGGTTGTGGCTTCTTCAGTGTTGCAGCCCGAGAGTGTGGTGTGGGTCTGTGTTTGTAAAAGCAGGGTTCCCAGCTCCATTCCAGCACATGCACCCAAATGCCTTTTCTCATCCCCTTCCTCTTTATATCTCCATGATTAAAATTGAGTTAATTGCTACCCTGTCGGCTCCAGAGGCTTGTGAGATGATTAAGTACTTGTAAACTCTACCACACTGTAACACTGTAAGGTTTTATTATGGAAAATGATGGAAACAGTGTAATAAGGTTGATTATATTTATTGCTATGTGGTAAGCATAGATAATGTCTGCTATGGAAAATATGAATTAGGGGGTGGAAAACATGTAATTAGGACCATTGGCAAAATCTAACTGAAGCCAGCACTCAAATACGGTCATAGGGAGGGCTGGTAAAATCTGTCAAGGCTGGAGCGTCACCCAAGTCCATTTCATCATTTATAAGAATGAAGGGTGACAGCTCCAAAGAGGATCGCACATAGAGAACAGTTCTTCCACTTGATGATGGTTGGAAGGAGGTCTTTGCATCAGCTCAGCCTCATTACAGAACACAAGTACATTGGATCAGATTAAACGACTTTGCGACAAGTTAGCTTTTCTGAGACATTGAAAATAGACAAGAAAGCAATAGGTAGGGACTACAGAACTCAATAATTTCTCCAGGTCATGAATGGCATGTGTGTAATTAATAATTTATACACTTCATAAGACTACAATATAATATTGACTTAAAAATGAAGTCATTTGGAAGAAAAGGCCTTCTTGTTTTGATGACTCAGAAAGCACTTCCAATATCTTGCAGTAAGTAGCTCATCAGAACCTTTAATAAACGAAGCAGCTCTAGGGGATTAGGAAATAATATATGCTGAATATTACTGCTTTGTCAGTGATGTTTTACTCATGAGGGTTAATGAGCCTTTGACACAACTTGAGTTATGAGCTATTGACAGCCAATGGGAATAGGTGATATAAATAAATTCATGAATAAGTATATAACGAGAGAATATTGAGAAGTACAAGAACACTTCATTTAGGAACATTGTTGTTGTATTTGCGCTCCATTAATTAATACAGCTGTGCAGAAGCAACCAGCTTCTATAAAGATTTCAGCCTTAGCAAACGTTTTCCATCCTGTAGGGTCATTAGGAGTGGAAATTGACTCGGAGGCACTATAGCTTCTGTTTTGTTTCAGATCCAGAGAACAGAGACGCACAGAGCCCTACTCTGAAGCACAGCATTAGAGTGAAGCAGAAGGTTTTGGAAATTATGCTTTACATTTTAAAGACAATGATGCCTATCTGACTCAAACT